GTTCAGGAAGGAGGTTCCCACCTTAGGGCTTGATGATGAGACCTGCTTCCCTCCCAGACCAAACAAGCAGATATTGCTGAAACTTGCTAAGGAACCAGCACTGACACTCCAGCACCATCTTCCAATTCTGCTGGCTGAACCCATCCTACTCGACACTGTCCCCTTTTCCAGAGGGAACTGGTACCAACTAGCAATCCAACTCCCAAGATCTTTCTAAGTTGGGTGAACTGGAATTCCATGCCCTGATTCCCATGTGCTGTCGTACAGGTGTCCTAATACCTCTTCAAGCATCTGGAACCAGTCGCTGCTTCTCATTGATCCTTCATTGGCAATGCAAGCAAGCTCTCACTAGCGTTCCCTCATGCCACCCTTGAACAGAAGAAAATCAACTCTAGTTAAGCTTGTAAAAAGGGGCGACATAACACTTCTTTGGTAAGGCACTGTGTATATACAATGTGGCACTTTTTGAGCTATGATGCAGATAAGGCAGGTTTTATATCTCGTCTAAATACAGGGCTGTTGGTTGAATTTGGGGCTGTAAACTTTCTTTTTTTATATATTATTTGCCACATGTTGATACTTAGGCTCAGGTTTTTTAGGAAATGGTGACCTAAAGTTGAAGCCAAAATCAAAAAAAAATGTTTGTACAGTTATCTGCAAAAGTGTGTGTGGGGGGGGGGGTCCTCTGTAAGCAGGTTTTGGTTATCCATCCCTAGTAGGGTAGAACAGCAGAGATAGTATTTTGGAATTTAAATACTGGATTTACCTGAATCCAAGACAACTACCCCCCCCCCCCCCCAATTATTAGAATCTATATATGGGAAACATAACTTTGGTATAATTTTCCATGTATAGAATCTAACTATTGAGAGGTTGTCTTAAATTCATCCCCCCTGTCAAATGCTGCAGTGGGGGAAGTTAGTGGTATGGAGGTAGGTGATAAGGGGGGGGTCAAGCAGCCCAATCCCCTCCTTGCTACCTGTCCCTGTCTCTCCCTCCCACTGTGCCAGCCCCGTTTCAGCCTGGTTGCTCCAGCCCAGCCTGATAGTGGTAGCAGCTCTGACCTGAGTTCTGGGACCCATCCAGAGCTGCCACCACTGCAACAGCTGTTACCAGGTGGGTTAGGGCTGGAGCAAGCATGTGCTCTGTTCCCCAGGCTCTGGAGTGGGACCAGGGCCATGCCAGTATTGGAGTGAGGGTAGATGGTTGTGGGGACAGGCAGCAGCAGCCGCTTCTGTCTACACTATGGCCAAGTAGGTGGTAGGGAGAAGCAGTAACAATGTTCAAGTCCTCGTGCCAGCCTGTCTCGGACCCAAGATGGATCATTCCAGCTCATCACCAAAAAAAAATTGCCTACTACTGGTTTATAAGATGGTTCCTGGAATATGATTTTAGCCCAAGGATGGCAAATAGTAATATGAATACTGTTTTGCTTAAATGTTACTAATTAGTGGTGGCATATTAATTCCCTTGCCATTCTTGGTCCCTCTACATGTGCAAAGGCCTGATGGGATCTGTGTGATCCACACAATCGCACCTCCTTCCATGCCACACATTGTACGGCAGGAGGCATGACTGTGAAATTGTGAATCTGATCCCATCATGCCTTATTGCAGGTGCAGGGGGGGAGCCCAATCATGGGCTGCATGGGCAAGAAATAAGTTCCTGCTGCTGTGATCTACCAGCCACAGGGGGGCACCACACATCCCTGTGGCTGGGAGCCCTTTCAGCTGATGGAGCTCCCAGGCTGTGGGTTCACTTAGTCCCCCCAGCTGGCAGCTCTGATGGGGCTCCCAGCCACAGGCTACATGTCAAAATTAAAGCTGGATAGAAACCAGCTATAAAGTTACTGCTTGAAAATGTGTAATAAGTAATAACTTTATAGCTGGTTGGACCATTTTCAGGCACCATAGTTGGTTTGCATGTGTTAATTGTGTAATGCATGTAACATGTAGAGGGGGCCTTGGTTCTCCAGTTTCTGTTGCCTGCAGCAGAATGGTGGTAGCAATCTGGCACTAGGAAGAAGCAGGAGCAGGGGGTTCAGAAGCCCCAAGCTGCCTTATTTCAGCCTGCCGCTAAAAAAGTTTGCCACCTCCTGACCTAAATTACCATAAAGCCTAGTAACTGGTTGGGAAAGTCTGCTTGTTCATACCTCTCTGAACCAAGTCTCTAAGATACCTACTTTTCCCTGCCTTCTGTGCAACTGCACACTAACACATCTAACCACCTGTCTACTTTGATATCGGGATAATAAAGTCTGCTGTTCCCTGCCTTTTTTTAAAGACCTAGAAGAGTTCAAGAGAATTAACTATGAATACTGAACACCCTCACTATGGGATAAGGGTTGACTCCACAGGTGTTCACAATAGAGTTGAACAATTAGTCTCTTCCTTTTCTTAATAGACTGCCTTACTTTAGGTTATATGAGCTATCATATGGACCAGATCTGGTCCCTGGTGCTGAATCATCCAGCCTGTGCTGCTCCCTGTAGGTATATGTAGAGTCCTGTGAGCTGAGGTCCTGGCTGCTAGATTGGGTGCACAGGCTCTGGGAGGGAACAGTGCAGGGCCCTGGGGCCCTGATCCCAGCATTATCAAGTAGCATGTGGCCCAATCCTGCTCACAGACTGGCCCTGTGCCAAAATGTTGAGTGCCACTATGCACTCACATTTCACTGGTCAAAAAGTAGTCATTAACAGTCAGATACTATGTCGGTAAGTTCAATAGCTCCCATAAAAAGGAATCCCTTTTAACTGATCTTTTTAGACAGCATAGCAGAGGAGTGAGAGGAGGGCTGTTCTTTCACAGCACCTTTTATTGATGCCTCTTCCCCCACTTGGAAGCTACAGCTCTACCATGAAGAGTAATATTTTGTCGGGGCAGAGCAAGCTGCTCACCAGCAGGGCAAAAGCCAATAATCTGATTCCCCCCACCCCAGGCGGTGCAGGGGGCTTGCTGAATGTCACTGTGTGCAGCCTCCCTGTTGAACAAACATAAGAAGGAAGTACCATACTGGGTCAGACTAATGGTCCATCTAGCCCAGTATTGTGTCACTGGCAGTGGGGGATCTCCAGTGACCGGGGCAGTCTTTCTGTCACTTACCATTAATGTCTCCAAGTCGTTTCACTGGTCAGCATCCACAGGCTCTTTCAACTCATCCAGGGGGAGGAGGTGAAGCAGTGGGCACTGGCCAGTGCACTTTGTTTGGTGTCCCCTTCTGGCTTCCTTGTTAACCTCTGACCTTGTTCCCTTTCCTGTTTTCCATTTGTTTCCCAGAATTAGTTGATGTGTCTCCAGGACTCCCCCTTGTTAAGGGAAGCTCATAATATTCCTTGAGTAGCCTAACCTATCTTTTGGCACATCGAACAGGCCTGTTTCTGACAGGAAGGGATCCCTAGTGAATGAGGGGCTGTCTTCCTGCCACTCCTGCTTACATCTCCAGGCAGTCTCACTGGTCAGCATCCACGGACTTCCTTGAGTCAGTCGGGGGGGCAGTGGGTGCTGGCTGATGCGCTCTGCTCCATGTCCCCTTCTGGCTGCCTTGTTGTTAATCTGTGACCTGACTCCCTTCCCTCTTTTATGATTTGTCCCAAGCAATTAGTTGCTATATTCTTAATGACCTCCCTTTTTGAGGGAGGCTTATAGTTTTTCCTGGTGGGCATTGGCCCATGCTCCCTTGAACACAACAGAAAGGTCTGTCTCTGCCAGGGAGGGATCCCCGGTGACTCTAGGGATGGCTTCCTGTCACTCCTCTGCTTGCATCTCCACACCAAGTTTCACTGGTCAGCATCCATAGGCTCCCTTGACTTATTTGGGGGAGGCAGTGGGTACTGCTTGGTGTGCTCTGCTCAGTGTCCCCTTCCAGCTCAAGAACACCGCGTGTCCCCAGAGGCCTGGGGGGCATGGCAAGCTCCTGCAGGCACCAGCAGCACTCAGCAGCAGGAGCATGGCGGTAGTGCTGTTGGTGGTGGGGGCGGTGGCGAGCAGACGCTGTTGGCAGCATCAGCAGTGATCAGGGACTGCCCGCAGGCGCCGTTGGTAGCAAGGGGGGGGTGAGCGGCAGTGTTGGCGGCACCTTTTTGCAGGGGGTGCACCCCCTACATGTCGACAGCGGAGCCTTTGACTTTGCTCCCTTTCCCATTTTCTTGGTCCAGTCTCAGTGGGCTCCCTTTTTAAGAGGGCCTTACAGTTTCTCTGGGCCTCGGTCCATGCTCACTTTGCAGAACAACGGGGCCAGTGTCTGGCTGTGGGGCCATCTTCCTGTCACTCTTCCACCCATGGCTCCTGGTGGTTTCATGAGGCAGTGTCCACGGGGTCCTCAGACTCACCAAGAAGCGTGGGGGGAGGGGGTAGTGGGTGCTGGCTGGTGCGCTCTGCCAGGTGCCCCCTTTGGAGCACCCCTCCTTCACCTCCACTCCTGCCTGGTTTTGCATGAGTTGCCCCATGAACTCCGTGGGTGCGACCTCAGTGACCAACCAATCTTCAACTACCTGGAGGAGGGTTATGAAGAGGATGGAGCTGGACTGTTCTCAGTGGTGGCAGATGACAGAACAAGGAGCAAGGGTCTCAAGTTGCAGCAAGGGACGGTTACTAGATATTAGGACAAACTCTCTCATGGGGAGGGTATTAAAACAGGGGCGCAGGTTCCCCAGAGAGGTGGTGGAATCTCCATCGTGGGAGCCTTGGCTGGGATGACGGAGTAAGGCTGGTCCTGCCCCGAGGTTTCTTCTCGCCTCATTCTCTAGCACCCAGCAATACGGCGGGCAGCAGGACCCAGCACGCTCAGGTATCTACCCACTCCCTGCCCCGCCCCCCGCTCGAGCCCTGGGCGGGGCCGCGAGGACCCCGAGAGAAGCCCCCGCCGGCAGGCTGGGTCCCGCCTGCGCCGCAGCCCCCGCCCTTGCGGCAGCCCTGGCTAGGCAGCGCGAAGCGGAACGGTCCTGCCGCACGGACCCGCTCAGGAGGTGCTCCGCCATCGCTCGGCGCCCGCTGCCGGACCGTCCCCGCCACGGATCCTCGGGCAGGCGGTCGGCTGGGGCAGCTCCGGAAGGGTCCTTCCCCGGGGCGCTCAGGCCACGTGGCTGCTGGGAGGCCCACGTGGGCGCGCTGTGTCCTGGGCCGCCGGGCTGGGTAAGGAGGGCAGGGGGCGCGGAGGGAGATTTCTGCTCCGGCCAGAGCGGGGTTTCGGTCTGCTTTTCTGTGCCACCCTGTCTCGTCTTAAGCAGGTGCCTGCTCCATCCCTCCGCTGCTTGGATATAGCAGCATCTAGCACGGGGCTGGAAGCCTGGGGCCGGCGGCAAACCCTAGCAGAGCAGTTGTGTCTTCATTGACTCTCACTCAGTGCTGCTTTTCACTGAAGGTTGTAGGTTGTAGCCGTGCTGTTCTGAGCATACAGGCAGACAAGGTTCTCTGGGTAGGGGTGGTATCTTTTATTAGACCGACTAAATGTGGGTATTGTATCTACTCAAAGATCCTTGTCTGCTTTTGATTTAAGTTGTTCCCTTGGAGCCTTGGTCCATGATTTGGATTCCCATAAAATAAGTTAATAATAATAAAGTTGCCTGGGTTCTGTAGTGTTACTTGAACAGCTTCAGTCAAAAGCAGACAGGGTTCTTTGGCTAGGTGGGATCTCTTTGATTAGGCCAACTACATTTAGCGAGTCTAATAAAAGAGAGCCCGTCTATCTAAAGAGCCTTGTCTGCTTTTTATTGAAGCTGTGCCTTGAGCACAGAGAGGTCTGGCAGCTTGGAATGGAGGTGTGGTGTCCTGTAGATCTCAATAGCAGTCGGTCCTGAGTTGTGTGTGCGACTGCTGTTCAGGCATGAAGCAACTGTGACATTAGACTGATAGTTATTATAGCTGGTCTTGGACATACCTTCTAAAAGTACTGCTAAGCCTAGTACTGATAATAAGGGCTGCACCCTGGTAGCAGCTGGCAGCACCAGGCTTTATGTGCTTTACATCTTGGTAGACTGCAAAGTATTGAAACCTGAAATAACTTTTTGGAAAGTTGAAAAGAGTAAATGAAGTATTTGGGCAGCTACGCTCTTGAGAACCTTCTTCAAAACCATCTCAAACATTCCTTTGCCCTGGCAGTGACTAGTTAGGTTGCTTATAGTCAGAGGCCACTCTCTACTCGCCAGTTAAAATTATCTCATTGTTTCTTAGGCAGACGAATTTCTTTGGGTAGAAGTGATATCTTTTATTAGACCAACTAAATTGCTGGAAAATTGTTCTTTGCAAGCTTTTGGGTACAAACACCCTTTTCCAGGCATAGGGAGAATCTGCTGGTGTTATGTTCTTGTTGTTTCTTTGCATTCACTTATTTTTGACAGGTCATGTGCTGTGTTAGGTTGAAAGCTCTTTGGGGGCAGAGGCTGTTGTTTTGGTTTTCATTTATATACCACCAGATGCAACTGAGTCTTGGTCCAAGATTTGGATTACTATAAAATAAATGAATAATAATAAAGTTTCATGACTTATGTAGTATTTCTTGAACAATACAGATAGAATCATTCAGCTTAGAGTTGCATATTTGGAAGAAAGAAACTGCTGTCTTGGTATTTAAAGATAATAAATGTTACCTGTAAGACAGCATTTTGATCAGCCAGGTATTTATTAGTTGTCTATGCCTTTTCATTGTATACCTGGCTCTGAGTTGTTATAATAGGCATGTTGATAAAAACAGTAAGCTTCTGTAAATTAATTTTGGAGGTAACACTCATTCTGAGAAATTGTCACATTGCTCCCTTAAAAACAAATCTACCCTTATGAGGTAGCGTTACATTGAGAGGCTAACAATTCCTGATGTAAAGATCTTGAACATCTTAAAAGCTTTTGACAGCTGATGTGCATAGAGTTGTCTGTTAAAATAAAGTACATCCTGAACTGAAATGTGCTCGTACAAGTCTGGCATTAACTGACTTCTTTAAAAATTTTTCAGCCATTTTTATTAGCCATGCAGCGCAAGAAGGTTGACAATCGCATCCGTGTGCTAATTGAAAATGGAGTTGCTGAACGACACAGGACACTCTTTGTTTTGGTCGGAGACCATGGGAAGGATCAGGTAACTATATAAGCCCAGGAACAATTTTTTTTCAGTGGTCTTCTTGCTTTAATGTTGTTTGTACCTGAAAATATAACATTGCTAGCTTTGTTAGGAAGAGAATATATTTGAGACCAGTAGAGCTGAGGATTGCAGAAGTGATCCAGTATGTTGTTATATTTGCAGCAAAACTTAGATGCCAGTGTGCAAAATATGAAACTTTGTACCTAATATTTGCACAAAGTATAGAGGGTTACTAAACGTAATGTTCATGTTAAGACAGTATGATGTCGAAACATAGGACAGTGTCGACACTGATTTAGAGGGCTTAAGCAAAGTATTATTTGCTATTTTTTAAAAGTGTGCAAACAATGAGACAGTCAGATGGACAAATTGGAAACTTTTTTTAAAAGGGGGGAAAAGACCTATTCTCTTCCAAAGCTAGCAAGAACATTTTTTTATTTAATCCTAATTGTATATGCATTTTTTAAATGGAATTAACTGTAAAAGACCTGCAACTTCCCTTACGAATTGTCATTGTGGGACTTAAGTCAGATACTGCTTAGTCACCTAGCTCTGGTCACCATGGTAGACTTTGCTTGGAGTAATTTGAAGCATGAAATGGAGAAACTTCATTTCCTATGTGCCTTTATAAAAAATCATCAAGGATTGTATGGAAATGCAGATGCTCTCTCCCATATTGAATGGTGCTGCCTCTGAAGTATTTTCAGTTTTTAAAAGACTGGGGGAAGCTATCTTTGTTTAAAAGGCTGCCTTTTTAATGAACAGCACCCACTTGAAGGCCTGCTCTAAACTAAATTGTACTGCTTTACCCAACTGTCACATGTAACCATCTTACCCTCTCTGCCTTTGTAGCGTATGTGTTAAGTCATAGAGAGGTAGGGCTGGAGGGGACCTCCAGAGGTCATCTAGTCCAACCCCCTCCCTGAGGCAGGATCATCCCTATCCAAACCATCATCTAAACTCTACATAAGACTACCTTCAACCCTGACACAACATAGCCCTAACCCCCTCCCCTGCCACAGGTAAAGCAGGGGAACCATGGCAGCCAATGTCCTGCTTCTATAAAATGTTGTCAGTACGCGCTGAGGAGGTCCTGGGTAGAGGGTCATGCCTCCCACTACAGAGGAAGGCAAAAACCCCCACAGTCCATACCAGTCTGACCATGGGGTAAAATTCCTTCCTGAACCTAAATATGGCAATTGGTCTGACCCTGAGTGGAGGGGTAAGACTGTCTATCTGGCTTTGGTCCCAGCAGGAGAATTGGCGCACCCCAGCTGAAGTCCCCAGCCTTATTGTAGCCATCACCCAATGTCTCTGATGGGGCTTAAAAACACCCTAACGCACATGGCAGAAAAAAGGAGAGGTGGCGGGGAGGAACAGGAGCAGGAGCAACAAGCAAAGCTCAGAAGCTTGAGAAATACCTCTGGTAGAAAATAGGCATGGGTATGTCTAGATCATCCCTGACCATGCCTGTCCAACCTCTTCTTGAATACCTCCAGTGATGGAGAGTCCACAGCTTCCCTCGGTGGTCTGTTCCACTGCCTCACTGTTCTAACAGTGAAGAAGTTTTTCTGGATATCCAATCTAAACTTACTTTACTGCACCCTGAAGCAATTGGTCTGTGTCCTCCTCTGTGCAGCAAGAGAGAAAAGGTGCTTTCCCTCTTTTTGATGGCAACCCTTCAGGTATTTGAAGACTGCTATCATGCCCCCTCTTAAGTACCTTTTCTGCAAGCTGAACATGCCTAGCTCCTTCAGCCTTGCCAAGCCCTTGCCTTCCAAGTCCATGATTATGTCTCTTGCCCACCTCTGGACCCTCTTTTAACTCCTCCATGTTCTTTTTAAAGAGTAGAGCCCAGAACTGCGCACACTAGTCCAGATGAGGCCTAACCAGTGCCAAGTAGAGAGGTGCTGTCACCTTCCTTGTTTTGCACCTAATGCTTCTGTTGATTCAGCCCAAAACTGCATTGGCCGTTTGTGCAGCTGCATCGCACTGCAGTTTAGTGTAATGTGTTCAGTGTAATGTAACTCTAAAATCTGATATTTTTCATCTGAGATCTAAAAATGTTTTGTTTCAGGATGTTTGAATTCAGGATCAAAGGGAGCATATTTTTCTCACTCGCTCCTAATCATCTCCTGTAAATACAACCTGTTAATGTGTCTTTGTTTTGGCAGGTGGTTATACTCCATCACATGTTATCTAAAGCAACTGTAAAAGCCAGACCCTCAGTCTTGTGGTGTTACAAAAAGGAGCTGGGCTTTAGCAGGTAAACCAAATACTGTTCTTTACTATTTGGTGGGAGGCAAACTGCACTGGGTGGTCTCAGGTCTGGAAACTTTTTCCCAATTGTATGCTGGTCATGCTGTGCCTTAATTTTTTTTTAGCAAAACTAGATTAAATCCTAGACTGCAGAAGATTCAGTATAATGGAAGCATCCATTTTAACATGAATAATGCAGCCAGAACGCAGCTTTGGGAACCAGGGGCTCCTGATTTCCAGCGGCGGCTTTAACACTGACTCCATGGTCTTAGGCTCCATATCTCCCTGCATTTCCTTACTTATTTATGGCTTTGCTACTGAACAGACCTCAATAGAGAGTAGGCCCTAATGGCAGAAATTTCTGGGCTTACCGAGCCGTCTAAGATTTCAGTATTTGAATCTGAATCCATGTGCTCAGTACCGGTTCAAAATCAGAAGGGAACATATTTTTCCTGAACAAACTCAGATCTGAATGGGGGTTTTTTTGTTTGGTTTTTTCCTGCTGCTTGGAGATGGTATTTCATAGGACACATTAACAATGGGAGCATGTGTAATCCAGACTTTTTCCTTGATTTATGTTTGAGCCTGAATTCATAACCTCCATATAAGTTGAACCCAGATCTGAACACCAGGTCCTCAGCTGTCTTCGCATTATTATTTCCAAATATTCCTATCTTGGTTTCTTCCAGCCATCGTAAGAAGAGAATGCGACAACTACAGAAGAAGATTAAAAGTGGAACTTTAAACCTAAAAGATGATGACCCTTTTGAGTTGTTTGTAGCAGCTACAAACATTCGCTACTGCTATTACAACGAAACCCACAAAATTCTTGGCAACACTTTTGGCATGTGTGTACTCCAGGTAACAAATTAATTTTTTTACCTTTTAAAATAACAAGTAGACTGCCCAAGAATACAGTTCTTATTCCAGTGGACCAAGTGCTACCCTTCCAGTACTTTAAATGCCTAAAGAGAAATATTTCTAATTTACATGCACTTCAGTGAGGATGGCTGTAAGTGTTACCTACATATAGCTATGCAAGAAGTGGACTTGCTGATAAAATTCTGTTTGAAAGTAGAATAATGTGAATGTTGCATAAAGTTTGTCTTTGAGAATTAACTGTTTTAAGCGATTCTGTTCCTGGTAGTAGATGCCAGTTGGTTTCACAGAGTTGCAGTGACCCAGAAATTCTGCTTATTGCTATCTTCTACTCCTAGGATTTTGAGGCCTTAACTCCAAACCTGCTGGCTAGAACAGTTGAAACAGTGGAAGGGGGTGGAATAGTGGCAATTCTCCTGAGAACTATGAACTCACTGAAGCAGCTTTATACAATGACCATGGTATGTTTGATTCAGTATGTCTGGCTTATGTTAATGGAACCTTCTTTTTTCCTCAAACAGCTGGGATCCAGTGCATTTTTCTTAAGCTTATGTAATGTGTTGGGATCTTCATATAAGCCTTCTCTCCCACAACGTGCTTTTCTGTATTTTTATTGTTATGCCATTACATGTGCATTTACCATTAAGCAGTTCTGTTCAACTATGAATTTGAATTCCTTCTAAATAATAAAGGTTTCTCACTAAAAAAAAATTCAATAACCCTTTTTTTTCTGACCTCAGTGTTATATAACTTGTGCTATAAGTTGGCTAGGGCTGGTGTGCTGGGAAGAGTAAATGGTTTTTGAGTTTTAAAAGGAATACATAGAATATGGAGAGTTTGCATGGCTGAAAGGGGAAACTTTAGGTAGGGGTGCACCAATAAAGATTTTTTTTTTTTTTGGCTGTTATCGATGGCTGATTTATTAACCAGCCATAT